ACATCTGTTTTGCCAAAGATTTTTGACTCTTTGGTAACATCTTACTTCAGGAATGTTTTTTCGGTTGCCAACATGAATTTGTGAAGGGAAGATCCACAGTAACAAATCTAGTAAAATATCAACATGACTTGGTGGAAGCTGTGGAAGGCGGTAGTCAGGTTGACTGTGCCAGCACAGACTTTAGTAAAACATACGACAGGATCAATATTTCCACTCTTATAAGAAAACTTAAGGGGTTGGGGATAGCTGGAAGATTATTGTTGTGGATGGAGAGTTTTTTGACTGACAGGGTTCAAGTGGTAAAAATAAAGAATTTCATTTCGTCCCCAATTTATGTTTTGTCCGGAGCTCCACAGGGGGACATCTGTCACCTTTGTTGTTCAATTTCTACATATTTAAATGATGTTTTGGACTTCATTCTTTACAGTCGTGTATTAATATACGCGGATGACTTGAAATTGTATAGACTGGTATCAACATTGAGGGACTCCTAGACAGCTAGAAGCAGATCTTAATTGCGTTGCCCTCTGGTGTAGAATGAAATATGAATGACTTTAGACTTAGGTAAATGTTAAGAAATGCACAGTTATATCCTTTTTCAAATTTCATGTAGTCATAATATACCCACATTTATTGCTTGGACAGGGAACTCGAGAGAGTGAAATCGTTGAAAGACTTAGGAGTACCTAACTTCCAATTAGGATCTTACGTTCGAATTTACAACAGAGCCTTAAAACTTCTTGGCTTTGTAGTCCGCACTGGCACTTTGAAAGACTAACAATATTTTTGCATTAAAAACTGTTTATTGTTCAGTAGTAAGATTCATAATTGAATATGCTTGTCCTGTCTGGTCACCAAGCTACCACGTTTGTATAAGTATTAGGTTTGCTGGAAATAAGGGTTCAAGGACGATTTCTTAGACATATAGGCTATAGGCTAGAAATTCCGTTTGAAAATATTAACTTTGATGAATTATAATATTACTTCACCTTCCTACGTTAGAAATCCGCCGGAGAAGTATTGACATTTGTTTTCTGTTGAGGAAAACCGCCTATTTAAAATATTATTTCTTCAAATCTTAACTTTTTAATAAAACGTTTACTGAATAAAAGTAAATGTTGCAACCTTGTCTGCGCCATCAAATTTAGGGGTGACCACAACGAACGGTACTGTGAACGGGAGATAGAGGAGACGCAACTAGACTTGAGAACAAGCTGGGGCTGTTCCTTTAGACGCGTGTCTCTAATTATTCATTATTCAATTTTCATTTCTATTCTGCATTAAAATTGATTGTACAATCCAATTTGTTATTAGTTAGTGTGTGTGTAAGGAGCGTTCACAGGTTAGTGGATTAAATGTTATTTTGTTTTTGAGAGTTCAATTTATGCAAGTTCCTATTATTTTGTTCATTTTTATGTATTTTTTGTTTGTTTATAACATTTTTTATAGCATGTGCATTGTTCATGTATTTAACAAAAATCGTTTCATACTGTAAACAACACAGATGAAGAAGTAAATTAGAACCTAAGAAATTATGTGCTGTCTTTTTGTGCTGAGATTTGATTTTGTGGATTTAGACCGTGCATTAGGGCCTTGTTGAATTTACTAACATTTTCCTACCCTGACGAGAGAATATCCTAACAAATTGAAATAATCAATCTAGAAATATTGGCTCAAAAACAACTATAGCTGAGTAGCTTCCCGTATGGGACCTCAGTACCTGCTGGGAAACTGGCTAACTAACAAAAAAACCTCTTTAGTATTGAATATAGGTAGTGTTGATTGAATGTAGTGTGTGTAATTGAAATTTTAGCACAAAGACAGAAGTACCTAATTTAAACTTTTATTGACTTAAATTATTGAGTTATTGCCTCACAATTATTATTAAAATGACACAGTATGTTTCGATTTTTGAGGAATGTTAGATCGAGGGTTTCTCTGCCGTGCTCTTTCCCCTCGTTAGTTCCAGGATGAGAACAGTACGATTTACTTTAATAATAAAGTAGACGTTTCACAAATTTTTCGTTTCTTTTACATATCACAACTTCCCGTTAATCTCCCTAATATTTTCTATGTCGGCCGCATGTCCAGTAAGTAAAATTGAGTAAGTTTCCACAACGTAGGTCCTATTTGTTTTTCATTCCATTTTTCAGAAGATTTTTTGTTTAAAAGGCAATAAAAATTCTCATCGTTCAATCTTACTGAACGAACCCGGGTGCATATTCATTTTTTGCCAAAGCAACTGATATTCGGCTAGATTCGTGCCCTGCGCCGTGATGCGTTAGCACAATATGAGCGTCGCAACAAGACGTTGGCAGTTCATGTGACTGTATGTTACAAGCATTTTATTCATAATTAGGTCCGATAAATGTTTTTTATTCGAAGGAAGGGAAGATAAAAGATAAAAAATTTATTTACACCAAAATTTCGGAAAACATTGGCTTAATTATTGTGTTAGATAGAACCAACGATCTCTTTGTATCTACCCGATGGATCTTTTATACTAACTATTTTATGGAGTTTGAGCTAAAAAAAATTTCAGGACGGATTTGACGGTTTGAATTAAGCACTGTCTCTGCTTGAAAAAAGGAAACAGGAAGACCATCGCCTAGTGCGGTTTTTAAACCAAAACTAACCCGAACCAACCCAAACTAACCAAAAATAACCCATACTAACGCAAACTAACCGAAACTAGCTCAAATCTACTAAAAAAGTTCTGGGACATTTCAGTAGACACAATGATTAATTTTTAAACTCTTAAAAAAAGGTATTTCTTCATTCGTTATTGCATTTCGCATTGAAACATGCGCCAACAACTAAAAATAACTGCCAATTTCGAACTGAATTTATTTAGAGATTATTTTCACGAATTCACGAACGCCAACCCGGGTATGTTATACTACACTGTATAAAATTGTAAGTAGTTTAATTGGTTGACTCCTCTGCTCGAAAGTATAGATATTCATGTATCTGCTAGATTCACAAGACAGAATGAATTGTTCAAGATAATATATCACAGGACCAATTATGGCTATGTTAGTCCTGCATCGAGAATCTGCAGAGATGCCAATCAACTTCCCAAGAGAGGTAGATCTCTTCAATCTATCTTTCAAGGGGTTAAAGAGCATGATACGACAGGATTTTTAAATAGTTTTTAGCTATTAGATATTAGATTTTATTTATAAAGTGTTAATTTAATTCATATTTTTTTAACAGTAGTTATTGTTATTCGGAATTTATAGTGTTATACTGGCTGGTCCGTTAATAAAGAATTATTATTATTATTATTATTTTACTGACCGAGTTTTGTCGATACCTAACTTTTTTTTATTCTTTGACAATAAAGCTGCCGTCCAAAAAACTCCAAAGTTTTTTTTCTCTTCAAAAGAAGTTGATAGGAAGTAGGTAGATGTTTCTACATTTATTACCGTTTCTGAAGAAATAGTTGCATAGGTACGCTCAAATTGGAAACCGGCTCCAAAAAGCAACTATTGGTATTTGTTTCTGAAACCGAGGGCAACATTTAGCAATTTTGGCATTTTTGGAAACAAAAACAAAAAACTCAAAGATGAATGTTCGTTCCATGGAACTATGGAGCGTAGCGTAGCCTGAGGTGAGGAGTAAGTGCGAGTAGTACGTAGGTACTTCTCTTATTCTCCAAAGTGTTCAAAAATCAAAACTATAAGCGCTATCTACGTTCGAATGCTAGACCTTTTGCTGCAGCAGCAACCTACTACATACTATTATACAATGATACTAAGATTGTTTTGAAATATGCCGAGTCGAGGTTTCTGTTTGATAGAGGGCAGCATTAAATATAGTTTCGGATAACCAAGTTTAAATTTTTTATTTTATTTAAACTTTAAGTTGCAGATTTAAACAAAAATCAAAATTGAGGTTGTGAGGTTCGAGTATCCATGTATTTTTTTAAATATGATTTTCTATAAGTGGGATTCATAAAAATCAGAACTTGCAAATCCTTATTTCCTTATTAATATTGTAACGCTTTTAGTAGAGGTATTCGCTTGTTAGTACATTATGTTGATAACGAGATTCGTGTGTAAAAACTATTGTGTATTTGGCATTTTTGTTTCAAAAAAGAAAGGAAATATCATTAGGCGCCATTTGTAAAGGGGAAAAAACGATGACATAAAGAACAACAAACTACAAAATAAGATTGATAAAGCTGTGCAAATAAATTATATTAAAAAAAAAAAAAAATTCAAAAATCAATCAAGAACAGAAGCTACAAGAATACTGTAAATAAAGAAATTAGAGCTTAGCACAACTGACAACAGCAACAAATATCGTTTAGGATATTATTGAAGTAAAAAACTGATAATTTATATATCTTGGGCATCTAGGAATACAGGCCTGTCCAGAACTCCAACTTTATGGAAAAAGTCCTATTAGTTCTATTCCTTTAAAAAGTTTAGACCACTAGAGCTACTCGCTCCGGTGTTAGTTGACCCCGATTTAAAAGGAACAGATGTGCAGGCTTTTGTGCATTAAACGGTTTGAGTTCAGGCATGAGCACTTCAAGGTCTTCAAGTACAACAAACACATTTTGGAAGACATAAGCGCGTACCTCCCTGGAGCTGCTCCTAGGTGTGAAAGGAAGTGTCAGCACCAACAACCCAAGGAAAAAGAAGAAACATCCTCTCTAAATTAGCAAAGCTAAACATCTCGTGAATTTTTGGCATGTTTTATCTTTAACACGCTGTTGACCTAAGACGCCACCCTACAGTTTTTATAAATAGGATTTCACAGTTATGGTTTATTTTTTTCCAAGATAGATTTTGGCATTGTCAACTTTAAACCTAAACAATGCCGCTAATGCCGCTTATTGGTCGCTATTGTAAAACTGATGTCAACCTGCAAAAACATCTCATTTTGCGACCAATCAGGGTCAAGCGTTATTGTTTATGTTTCAAAGTTTTCAATGTCAAAATCTATCTTGGGAAAAAATAAAGTTTTTTTTTTTTTTTGTAGAAACAATCTTAATTCCATAACTTATTATATTTGCATTAAAATAAATCACTAACAAAATCAATTAACAATTTAATGGTGACCTGAGCCAGCAGTGGACTTTCCATACTGTTGTTCCCAAAGTTTCACAAATTCCTTCTTTCTCTGTTCTCGCTTGGCAAAGTATTCTGGATACTGAGCTTTTTCTAGAGGATGCCAATAGTCTAGGACCCAGTCTGGAGGTATGACTTCCCTGCCGTAGGCTGTACCTCCAGGAGAATTGGGAACTGAAAATAGCATTTATCAATATCATACCTTTCCACTTTTCTGGCCAGGGCGATGAACTTACACTTTCTTGGATGCCAATGCTGGTTTTGGAACAATTCTTCTTCCCCATCAAGTAATAGAGCTTTGGCCTTGATCATATCTGTAATTTTAGTGTTGTCATCGAATCTTTTTCTCATGAGGACAGCTTGGAATCGGAAAACTTCTCTAAAAGAAAGTTGAGAATTAATAAGTAATGCATTATAATCATAATATTAGATGGATAAGAGATAATTTTTCCCAAATAAAAAAAAATAAAAATAGAAAAATATTTAAGAATTTATGAATATACATATCAAGAATCAAGTCCCTGGGGTAGATATCCTGTGTGATGTACTATGGATGTCTACATAAATTAAAAATTTACTGAATACTGTCTTTATTGTTAACTTTACAAACAAATATGTAGGACTAAAAAAAAAAACAGAGATTGTGCAGGCAACTGACTCATGCTTATAGTACAGAGTACAGATACTATTAATAAAAATGAATAATCTTAGGCCTAGGACTTCAGGACTTAACAATACAGGAAAATAAATAGAAGAATCATTTCAAACAACTAAAAGGTAAGCAATTATGGACTATGGTGTAATAGCTATGATGTAAAAAGGAAGAAAGTTTGAGAAAAATTATAATTTAATACACAAATAATAAAGCTAAGCAGAAACTGGTCTCTGCTTAGGTTTAGCGTTGTATTAAAACAGTTGGGGTTTACTCGAGGATTTACTTATGAAGTTGGACAGCGAGCCTTAGAACGCGGACCGGACCATCAGATATAGTAACTTCTAAGAGGATATGACGTCTCTGGATAAACCAATGGGTCTGAATTCTAGACATGTCGGCTTTCAACAGAATTGATAATAGAGAAATGTTATTAAAATTAGAAAGAGCTTTATTTTACTTTTTGGTGTCCGTCTCGGTGTCCGTCTCGGTGTCCGTACAATGTAGTACAAGTCGAGATCTAAGTCTACAGACTTGGTTTATTCCAATATCAATTCTACTCTTCGCTACCCTTGCCAAATTAAATACCAATTATTAAGTTATCACTTGATTTATGAGTATCACTGCTTGCCCTGTGTTAAAGCTTTTCAGGAGAACACAGGGTCCACATGTCAAAAAAAAAGCCTTGCTCAGGTAACATAAGTAAATAACAGAACATGTTATAGTGTATTTTGTTGTAGCATGAAGTTCCTATAAAACTGGGCTTATGCTTATGTTAATAATCCTTATTATTACCCAGAAGTCTAGCAGGTCGGTAGACTTTTCAGACTCTAGATTAGACCTCTATTATTGTCCAGTGTCCAGTGATATTTTGGGAAAAAAAAATTCAAGAAAAGTTATGTAATTAATTCAATTACCTTCGGTCATAAAAGGCTTCCAGCATCCGGACAGACCTTTTATATAAGCTCTGCACTTTTCTAGTGTGAGTGGTCAATCCTGTTGGCAAACAGGCCATAATTGCAATTTCTCGAATAAAAAATTTGATTAATAATTTATTTTATAGAAAATTGAAAAATGTCAATTGATGACATTGATGTTGTGTCATAGCACGTCATAGCAAAAGTCAAAGCGGTAGGGCACTTTCTAAAATTCACCGGTTTCTAGGGATAACAAACAAGTAAATTGAGGAAAATATAAAGAAATCTGTAGTTGTTTTGAGAAATCTGTAATTATTTTTTTGGGGTAGGGGTAGACATGCAAAATAGGTTGTACCAGATTCAGTTAAAATGTACCAGCTTATAATGCGCATGCGTTTCCTGAAAATGAGGATTATTTTTGATCCAGTAGGATAAAAGCACGTTTTGTTTTGATTTGATGAAAAGTGAAAACCCTCTAAACTAAAACACAAACTACGTCAACCTACGTCAACCAAGAACAACAAAACAAGTGTTACATTGGTGGCGCCATCTATTTACGTATCAGAAATTATTGCTACATCGAATTTAGATACAGAAATACAAATTAATTAGAACATCAACATTAGACGAAGTAGGCAGAGGCTAGACTCTTCGAGAACACCTCTGGCAACACTGGTTGTATTTTGAGTTTTTGAGTCCTATTTTCTTAAATTAAAAAATGTACCTTTATTTTTTGATTTAATTATACCAAAGCAAACTATCGATAGTACAATCGATAGTTACTATCGATAGATAAGCCATTCTATCGATATCACTATCGATAGTTTTTTTTTCGATAGTATGGATAGACCCTGTACCAATATCGATAGTTCCAATGTAGCCAAAGGTAAATGAAAACATTAAAACATCTGTATATTGAGGGAATTATGAAGAAATCTGTAGTTTTTTTGAGAAATCTGTAATTATTTTTGTGGATAGACATGATGTGCTGCCAATTTTTCGGTTAGTAGGAATGACGATTGACTTTGATGGACTTGATGGAGGTTGGAGGTTAATGTTTATCGTAATTAATTACAAATTTGATTACTTTGGTCAGAGCGATAGTACAATCGATAGTTACTATCGATGGGTAGGCCATTCTATCGATAGTTTTTTTTTCGATAGTTTGTCAACCCTACCGGTGCGATACAGGTTTAATAGTTTACCCACGAAACCGTTCCAAAATGTACCTACTTTTTAGGGCCATATTCTCCGTGGTTCATAAAGCCTGGCTTAGTGGAAATGCTCGGCTTTGTCACACAAAAATTCAAGCGTTTCCACTAAGCCAGGCTTTATGAACTACGGAGAATATGGCCCTTAGCGGTTGAACGTTAAACCCGATTCTTGGGTTGAACTAGGAATCAGGATCGTTCGTTCCAAAATTGACTGGAATGATCAGCTGTTTGAAACCGGATTCATCAGGAATTTTTGTTGGTTTTTTCCATTGGAGATTTTTTTGACACTTTTTTTTGACGTCCCATCGTCACCAAAAGTAACTGCAACAGCATCATATTCCTGTTATTCTTTCGATCTGAGCCGCTTCCCAGTATGGGAGTGCGACGCCCGGAGATACTGGGAGCGTTGAGCTCCCGAGCTGTACGTACCCGTCAACCTGTCAGTTGTCACAGCCGTGGATGGCTATTTATTTATTTGTTTCTTGTTATTATGTCGAAATCGAATATTTCCAAAATATAGTTACTATTTTCTTTAATTTTTAATAAATAAAAAACAAACTGCACCAACAAACAGATAATTACTTTTAAAATTTGACATATTTGATACGACAGGCGTCTCACGCCATGATACTGGAACAGCACAAATCTAGCGCGTGGCGCCCCCGAGGTGCTTTAGAGCGCGCCAATGTGCGCATACGAAAGCAGCTCTGAGCATTGTTCTTTGGCATGTGATCACATGAGGTTTGTTCACGAGTTCAAAAACAGCTGGGGCCAATGATATCGTTCTAAAACCGGATGAGAATTGTTTGAAACAAACCTCAAGTGACTTCGATTAGTTTGTTCCAGATCGAGAGAATACTTCCATTAGCTCCTGTATGAATTTTATTGTCAAATATCTGTCAAACTATGAATTAAATAGTTCTTTTCACGTGGCTCCGGTTTAACTAACCGGGTTACAAAACGGTTAGAGAAATGACATACCGTTTTCTAACCCGGTTACAAAGTGATGTGATGGATACCTACCACTCGAATTTGAGCGGTATGTTGCGGTTTGTTAAACCGGAGCTACGTGAAAAGGGTTATTGCATTGAAATAAATGACGTAAGAATTAGTCCAGGAGATTCTTATGCATTATTTTTGTCCCAGATACTTTTGATGACGATTGTACCATCGTCACCAAAAGCTGGGACAAAATGACAAAAATAATTCATAATAATCTCCTAGACTTAAGCCTAGTAAGTACTCATAACTGTGAAATTTGCTCTTTTTTGACAGCTTCGACAATTTGACGATTCACGCATAAAACGTCAAATTGACGAAGCAATGTCAAAAAAGTGCGAATTTCGCAGTTATGAGTACAAGGCTTAATTCTTCCATCATCCATTCCAATGCCGCCATATTGGTATGCCCAAAGTTCCTAAGGGCCAAATTATGGACCAACTGGTAAGTGTCTGGTTGTTACCTAGCAGGTAGTTTCTATTATCTACACCATTTCCAAATTCAAGCGGCAGTAAATGACATTCAATAACCTAAATTGTAAACAAACACCAGCCTTCCTATTGGTTGAAATGCCCTACCTGGACCGATGCGCATGCACGGAGGACATTTGATAGGTTGTAATGAAAATTACCAGTTTGTCATTTACTGCCGCTTGAATTTGGAAATCGTGTAGAGCATAGAAAGTACCTGCTAGGTAACAACTAGACGTTTACCAGTCAGTCTATAATTTGGCCCTGAAGTCAATAGGTTGCCTGGTAATTGGTAATGGGCAACCTGATGACGCGTCTGGGATGCCGGAGATTTGAATTATGTCGAGGTCCCCTAGATGACGTCATAAAGTTACCAGGCAACCTAGAGGTAAAATCAGCACTAAAGACTACGGTGACGACATAAAAAGCTGCGCGAAGCGGGTCGGATCTCTCTCCCTCGTCTATCTCTCGCTGTCTGCCGTGACCTCGGCCGTGAGCTGAAGCCAGCAGCGGGGTATCTTTTGAGACAAAACTTGGATACAAAATAAACCAAATAAATATGCCTGCTGGTCGTACGACAATGAACCACGTGCTTGGCGTTCGGCAGCAGCACCGATCGATACGATAGTTCGGTTAGTCTTCAAAATAGGGTTTGTGCGCAAATGACGACACCGTACTCTTTAGTCTTGACGCGGACTCTACCTCTCTCAAACAACCTTGGGTATGCCACCATTTACCGACGTCATAACAAAAGTCGTCAGCTGTTTGCACTAGCAGTGTAGCAGTCGTAGTTTAGAACTTAAATTTATGAAGAAAATTATTATTTAATTTTGATTAACATTAATAGGCAAAGAGGAAGATGAAAACGAGATCTTACTTAATTGTTGTTTTAGAATGTTTGTAGTGAAGCCAAGTATGCATAAAGCAAAAGCCCGCGGAATCATAAACTGTAGTGTAAATACTGAATAGCTACGTCAAGGCGAGAACCTGATGGCGAGAAACGACATGCTGCCTACGTTACAGCAGGTAGTTTGTCGTGGTGGGGGGCTTCAGATTTGTTCCACGCAGGCTTTTATGAGGATAAGCTGGGTTCGGTAATTGCATCTGCGACAAAGTTGTTTGAGAGAAGTAGGTTGCCTGATAACTTCTATGACGTCATCTGTATGCCTAAACATAATGCAAATCTCCATAAAGCACTACAGATGCGTCATCAAATTACATATTATCAGAAAACCTGCAAAAGTGCAAAATGAGCAAAATTTGACAGATTACGTAAGAAGATAAGTGATCACGTGACGTGCGTCAACATTTGCTCTTTTTACTCGCAGATGCAATTACCGAACCCAGCCATTTTTGGTCTTTTCCAGGTATTTTGGCACCAAAAATGGCGGTATAGTCAATTTAATGCTTTATCCAAGGTTCCTAAAGTTCATAGGTTGTCTGGTAATGGATAACTTGATGACGCATCTGGGGTACCTTATGGAGATTTGCATCTTGAAATGTTGAGGCATACAGATGACGTCATAAAAATTATCAGGCAGCCTCCTTCTTTTAAAAAATCTTGTGCTTTACTTAATATATGTTCCGTATGCATTTATTCATTCCGTACATATATATGACACGTAGTACAATCCGATTGGTCAGATTTAAAATTTAAACTAATTAACCTTCGAGTGCTATACGAGCGTACGGAATGTAAATCAGTGCCATATGCACTTACGGATTGTAATACAGTTATGCGTTATACGCACGCAAAATCACGCCTCCAGCGGCCAAATATGCTGTTTTTTTTTGTGATTGTCGGGCTCACATAGGTAGGTATTCTTCTATGGAGTTTGGCGTTACGTCCTCTCGATTTTCTTACAAATATTTCGACCAATAAATTGGCAGTTCAGTTATTAGAGAGTTATTGGACGTGCAATAAGGACAAGCAGTATTTAAATTAGCCTTATTTTGACATCTACACATGCGCATTTGGGTCCGAAAATAAGGATTCCCTTAATAAGGTTACTGCTTGTCTTTATTTGTGTATGGTTAGTGCGAGGCAGTAAACTTCCCTTATTTCAAATTTCTGACGTTTTGGACGACTTTGACGTTTTGCTTTTCGACGATGACGTAATTTTACTTAGAAAATTTATTTTTTACAATAGTTTTCCATTTTACTTTGGGTAACATCAAAAAATGAGTATCAGCAGAAAATCACAAACAAAAATAAACACTTTTTGAGGCTGAAATTAATAAACATAGCTATCATCTGTCAAAATTATGAATACAAAATAAGGTAATACTCTAGCACCTACTACAGTCTTCCAATAACTGTTTTTTTCTTGGAAAAATAGTGCTGATGCACTAATAAAATAACGTAGATCCTTAATACTGCGAGGCAGTATTTCATAGTTCCAATAACTCTCTAATGCTTCGCCGACAGTATTTTAATCAGATCTCTTGTGTTTATTTGGCTTTTGGTGATTGAAATCGCCATGCATTCTGCGACAACGTTGCTACCTTTGAATTATAAATATTTTGAACAGAGTCCTGGAAAATA